ACAAATTTTAATGTGGATTACTACTCATCCGACTAAAGCAGTAAAATGTTCTTTGGAATGGGGATACCCATATGTGTTGTCTTTACTTTGAAAGAGTTTAGGTGAATTTTATTGACTACTTTGATTGTTACTTAACTTTGAAGTGGGTGTACATTACCCTCATTACCACAACTATGACATGACAGATGTGGTTAATCAAATGTAGCCCAAAACTATTCAATATATTTTTATCGCGTTTTCACAAACCAGACATTGAAAGTAAAATACCATTGATGGAACGCTTCGTGTACGTTGACAGCCCTGTCGTCTTTGGTGAGCGTTGAAACAAAAGTGTGTAAAATTCCCGTGGTAAGTTACCTCATGCGTTGTGTGGACGCAGGTAGATTGAACGACAGCTGACCCGGGAGAACATCAGAACCGCGCACTTTCGAAGAAAAACTACCAAAGCCGCGCACTTTCAGAGTCGCGCACTTTTTGGCGATATCTATACAATTAGATTGCCAATCACCGAACCCAAAACCATCCAACAATTTAAGTCCCCTTTGCGTTTTACTGGGTTTGGGACTAGAATTGTTTATACCAATGATGCTGCGGATACACATTCCTTCTGTCGCCATTCTTATTGTCTGAGTCATTGTCATTTTTGGGACACTCACTGTACACTTAGGGCTCACTGAAAGAAAAAAATGCCTTTAACGATTTTAATACAAGACTTAAAAATATCACAGATTTGAAAACTACCTCACTCATTTTGCAAATGGATTCAACTGGAAAGTAGTTTTCGTGCCATTGAATTTTATGGAAATACAGTCAAACCTGCCCTGACGGCTACCTCTATAAAACGGTCACCTGTACGAACAGCCACTTTCCATTTCCCCCCTTGCGTTTTTTCTATATAATTAAATGTGTAAAACGGGCACCTGTCCAACGCGGCCGCGGCCACCATAATTTAACACACAACCCCTATCACATTAAGCAATAACACCTGTCTTAGACGGCCACCTTAGTGACTCCATTACGTTTTGTCATAAATTGTGCATTGGCCCCTGGCGTTGTGGGCGAGCCGTCATAATTCAATCACCTGTCGTTGTCGTGAGGTAGTCCCTCCAACCCGAGGATACCGGAACTAATTTATTTTGGTAGCCTCGCTCCAACCGATCATGTTGCATAGGCCCCTCCCACCGTTGACCAATAGCTACCAATTTTCAGCTGCTGGTGAGGTAAGCGTGTGATCCCTCATAACCCATAAGCCCCGCCCAGAACTCATACACAAATAGTAAGTGAGATGAGTGGTCACTGTTTACCCAGTCTGTAACAAAGTAACAAAGGACGTCAACATAAACTTGTGACAGAAGCGTCGCTCGTTTACCGAGTGGTAGCGACCAACGTGTTTGTTTTAACAAGGCTCTCTGTCTTCCTCTTCGGATACATTTCGTTTTATTGTCACCCTTGTGCAAAATAAGCAACAAAATAAAAATTACAACCAAAATACAAACCAACAACAACAACAACAACAACAACAACAACAACAACAACAAAAACAACAACAACAATGCGGCTACTTTCGATTGGGACCTCAGATGGGAATGGTTTGTTTTCGTCATCTTGATCAGTCCTGCCTAAGACAGCCACCTGTCATATACTGCCACTTTTCTCCATGACAATGGGTGGCCGTCTTACACAGGTTTGACTGTAGTACGGAGTAGTTTTGTCAAGGGGACTGTAACCGTTGGATAGAATCGGCAATCTAATTACATCGACGTCGTGAAAAAATAGCGCGGCTCTGATAGCTTTTTTTCGAAAGTGCGCAGCTCTGATAGTTTCCCGCTGACCCCGGACACACTGACACAGGAACATACGGCCTGCCGAAACTAAACGACTGCAGATTCGGCGCTGCGCAACGATAGGAAACGTGTTCCCAGGTTTTGTATTTTTTATTAATTAATTAGACTCAACCAAATAACTTGGATTCAACAAACATATAAATGAGTGAACTCAGATTCAACTATGCCCCTTGCAGGGCGAACAGCTCATGCTAATGTGGCTTTGCGCATGTTCCTCCACCAACGAACCATTTCTACTCTATTCCAAGAGACTTTCAGAGCACTTTGCACTGTGGATTGTGGACCATTGCACGCTTAGCCTAGCCTATTGCATACATCTTAAACGATCAACCACAAGCTTTCTTTCGCATTAACACATGCGTTGTTGACACGCATGTTGACGTTTCTTAGCCTAACGTGTACCAGGAAGCGGCCAGCACACGTATGACTGTTAGGTTATGTGTCACAAGATTGTGTGTGTGGGGTGGGGGTGGGGGGTGGCGTAGGCATACGCGTTTCGGGCATGGTGCATCGGTAGAAATATAGACGTACCACAGTCATATTACCCGCCCACCCCCAGGCCATCCCCTCCCTCCAGCTATGGAACAATGAAAGGCCAACATAGTTAGACATAGCTCTACCTCAGATTTAAAAATGTTCTATTTGAAATTTTTGGCAGTTTTGAGTTACTGAGACTATGAGGTCAGAGACCAAATGTTCTTTATTTTCTATCAGAATCGTTAGGTTATATGGAATCGTTATCAAGATATTTAAATAATTGTATTCGAAAAAGCTTGACATGATGTTAAAGTTAAACCCAAAATCTTTGATGTCAAATTTCTGAAAACTAGGTAGGCATATTGGGCAGATAAAACTTTGTAATTCTAGGGTAGTGCAGATCTAGATTTACGTAAAATGACTTATTGAATGCTGTTCTGGAGAAACAAACGTTGCTGTATTCTACATGGTAAACCTCTCATTGCGACGCAACTTGTTAATTAGACTGCCGTAACAAAAACTCAGATTCAACGAAAGTGAATGTCAGGCCCGACGACTTTTTTGTATCTGAGTTCCAATGTATAAGCTTTCAATAAGACAAGTCGAGTTTACCTCTAAAAGTTAAAGGAAAGGGGGGACGAACTCAAAATACGTTTGTGGCTGCTGTGTATCGTGTCGTTTTTTCCCCTCGACTTTACAACACATTACGATTAGGTCATGGTGTGATTATGGAATAGGCTCTTGGCGCAGAAAGCTATATAAAAACAGCCAAATTTGTAACCAAATACTATTGCATGCTCTTCTTTTTGTATTTTATAAAAAAATTATTCTTTTTTTTTTTAGCCACCTGCATTATACTCGAAGTTTAGAGTAAGTTCACCAGTGAAGAATCTTGAAGCCATTATGCCTAACGCAGGTTTAAGAGTTATAATTGCTCAAATTAGGAATTAAATATGTGTGCTTCGTATTAAGTGAGATAGTTCCTCGGTTATTTTGGCGGATGTGGCCTACAATATATGAATTCGGGATTTGTTAGCGAGAAGTCTTCGTGTTTTTAATACGTAATCATGTCCCCAGTGTGATAAAGCTTTTACTTTTAGCGCAAGGGCGCATTTCTATCTCTTTTTATAAACACTAACTTTGATCACTCTGTCAAACAAGCCCGCCTTCACCCCTGTGAGATAGTTAAAAAGCCACAGGGGTGGCAGAAAAGTGTGCGGGTTTGTGCGTGTGTGTGAGTGTGTGAGTGAGTGTGTGTGTGTGTGTGTGTGTGTGTGTGTGTGTGTGTGTGTGTGTGTGTGTGTTGTATGAGAGAGCGAGAGAGAGAGAGAGAGAGAGAGAGCGAGAGAGAGAGACAGAGACAGAGAGAGAGACAGAGACAGAGAGACAGACAGAGACAGAGAGACAGACAGAGAGAGAGAGAGAGAGAGAGAGAGAGAGAGAGAGAGAGAGAGAGAGTAAAATAAATATAGGATTTTTTTAACGGATACATTTGGCATAGATCTAGTACTTTAGTTTTAGAAATTGAAGCTGTCATGACATTGCTTAATTTGTGTATGATGTATTTGGCGTGTCTCTGCCACTCTTAGTGTAAAAAATATTGGATCTTAATTCTAAACAATAGCGAAGAGAGAGGTCTCTATTAAATGTACTGTGCTTACAAATGTTCTTTTCGGTTACCAACTTAGCAAGCGCTCATATGACCTTATGCAGTTGCAAGCGCCGTTAAACCATGTCCTCCTCCTCCTACTACTACAACTTACCATACGCCGTTAGTTGGAAACTCTGGATAAAACATGCAGTGTTTGGGTTTTAATTGTTTGACCAGATGCATCATTGGAGGCTGTATGCCATTTAAAACTTTCTCTTTACACTAAGCTTTTTTATATTCCACTTTAGTACATGTAGGACTGAAAAGTGAAAAACCGTCATAATCTAATTGCAATTTTGGTCCATAATTAAGAAACAAAACTAGAATAGGAGAGAAACCACCGGTACAGATAGTGATCAGTTTGGGATTGGGCTGGAATACACACACAAAAATGACATTATATTAACAGTTTTTATTTTATAACCCACGAACGTGTTGGTAACGGAGAGGAAAATCTGTTACGGAAAAGAAGTTGAAGTAACGGCGAGGAAAATACGATTACGGAAAGGAGGTATTATATATGACGAACTCAAGTCATTATAATACAAAGTGGAGAAATTAATGTTTAATCTAGGTTTAGAAACTAGATCAGAACGGTGCCTAATCAAGACAAATACAGCTTTCAAAGTTGCTTTTTTCAAGACTTAAGAGTAGCACACACACACACACACACACACACACACACACACACACACACACACACACACACACACACACCCCACAAACACACACACACACACTCTCTCTCTCTCTCTCACTCACACACACACACACACACACACACACACACACACAACACACAACACACACACACACACACACAACACACACACACACACACACACACACACACACACACACACACACACACACTTTACAACACCAATTTGAAGGTGGAGAATAAAAAAACAACTTAAGTGCCAAACTGGGCAGCCCCCGTGATAAACTACTTCTTCGAAATTGAAACAGAAACTAGCCAGCCAAGGAGACGCGAAGGTCTTGGAAACCAGAATCTTTTTCTTCACGTGATAACGCGTTTTCCGAGCGCCGCTTTCCTATTGGTCGAGGCTTCGTGTGTTGTGGCGTTGCTCAGCGTTCCGTGAAACCGTGGGCCCCGCAGCGCGGCAAAACGTTCCCACATAATAAATTGTGCAGTGTCAGATCTTGCGAAGTTGCCCAGGCCTGTTGTCAGTGAGGCACGAAAAACAAACACGAGATTTATTTTAACTTCTTGTTTAGGCCTGCAAGTAGTTGCTCAAACCACTTTCTGATCTTCTTAACAAAGGCAAGTCATTGTTTGTATCGTTGCTGTAGTTCTTGTTGATGATGATTGATGATGATGATGATGTTGTTGTGTTGTTGTTGTTGTTGTTGTTATCACTGTTGTTGTTGCTGTTGTTGGTGTAATCGTAGCTGCTGTTGTTGTTGCTGTTGTTGTTGCTGTTGCTGTTGTTCTTGTAAATCGTTGTTGTTGCTGTTGTTCTTTTAAATCGTTGTTGTTGCTGTTGTTGTTGCTGTTGTGGCTGTTGTTGTTGTTGTTGTTGTTGTTGTTGTTGTTGTTGTTGTTGTTGTTGTTGTTGTTGCTGCCATAGTTATTTCTAATGGTTCTGTTGAAGGTTGTTTTTTTTTTTTTTTTTTTTTTGGTAGCTGCTGCTGTTTTTGTGTTGGTGATGTTGCTTTCATTTTCATTGTTGGTGTTGGTGTTGTTGTTGTTGTTAGGCTACTATCGTTATAAATGCTGCTAATAATAATATTAATAATGTTGTCATAATTTGTTCTTGTTGCTGTTTTTTCTATTGTTATTCTTGCTGCTATTTTTACGATGATCATGTTTAGACTCCCTTTATTATACGCATAAATTGGATTCCACGCGTTGGTGGACTTTGAGGGAGAAGCATGCCACTTTGTCACATGCCTCGACTGTGCCCTGCATGATGGAAGTTACTGACACTCTCAAAAAGAGTAAATGAATTATTGATTGATTGTATAAATCGAATTTTATTTTCCAATTGTTTTTAACGAAAGAACATTCATTGTTAGAATTTTACATAATTATTTTCTTTGATTTGCATAAAAAAGGAAGAAATATTTGATTCGAACAACACAAGCTGAATTGACTTTTTAGAGGGACTATCTCTGCACCACCAATTTGAAGGTGGAGAATTTTAAAAAACTTAAGTTACAACTACAATGTTTAAGTTAAAGTGCTGTAATTATGACTGTCATCAATACTCAAATACTTAAATAAATTTGTGACAATTAACTGGGCCTGTGACAGACTGGGCAGCCCCCCCCCCCCCCCCCCTTGAGGGTACCAGGCAGAGGCGAAGCGTCTATATAATCAAATAATCACTGCTTCCCTTCCTAATTTTGAAACATTGTCGCAGTCAAATTCACCCATAGACGTAATCCTCATAAATTAAATGTAAAAAGATATTCATAATCACCAATGAACAATAGACTATGCCTAACCTTCAAAACCGTTTCATTGCCACAGAAATAGCCTGTGTTCGCCCCTATCGGGCCACTCCATAAGCAGTCACCAGCTTTGATTAAGTAAGCTTAAAGTGAGGCTGGGAGAGTCAACCAATAGATTTGAAGGGAACATGATTGTGCATAGCAGTCAGAGCTGTTTCATTGTCGCCGGCATATACCCTGTTCACCCTTTTCGGGCCACAGTTATAAGCACCCAGACGCGCTGATTATCTAACTATTACACTGGTCGAGTCTACCTCACAGATGTGGGGGGAACTAACTCCTAATAATCCTTTGACTCCTGCTACTACACTGCTAGTGCTTGTTTTTTTCCTCGACTTTTTAACGTCCTATAATCAGATCGTGACCTCGATTATGACAGCGGCTCCTGGCCGCGAAAAGCTAGACAAAAAACAGCCAAATGTGAAATAAAAAATTAATAATTGGCGTGCTCTACCAAAGTGTTTCGGCTGTCTGGTATAACATGTCATTGTAGTGCTGACATCTGTGCTTCTTTCCTTGGTGTTCGTGTGTTCAAATCTAAAGTTAAATTTAAGGTTAGTTAGAATAAACATTTAATGAAATACTTTCCCGATTATTTTAGCGGTTGAACAAGCACACAACATGAATTCAGGATTTTTTTCATTCACACCTCAGAGTTGCCGCCTCCAGTGCCAGTAAGATTCTTGTGACTTGTGTGAGTGTGATATCTCCAGGCCCTATCTGGTCCCATTTCACTTTGATTACCCTGTCAAAAAAGTCAGCCTTCGCCCCTGGTACCAGGCCCTGCTTCTTGACCCTGGGTCATCCCTTTTTAGTGGGAGTTTGATGGGTTGTCTGATGCGATTTGCTCCCTCTTTCCTACCAAGCTTATTATATTATATACATGTATATTATTATTATCGTTCCCTTCCTCTTTCTTTCTTTGCATGCTATTCTTCAGAAACACCTTTCATTTTCAATATGACCTAAGAGTGTCGCAAATGCCGTAAACTCTCTCTTAAAGCAAATTAAATTATAAATAAATAAATAGATAATGTTAACAACAGTTAGATCTACTTTACATTGATTCGCTTGGGGAAGTTTGGGTTTCAATGACAAATACATGTGCCTACATAATACTGTAATACTACCTACATGACATTCAAACACCCTAGCCTAATAAACATACAAAGATTGTAAAAGTTCACAATATTACGCGTACCATTGCAGGCAATTTTATAATTTGTTAGCCTAAACTACTCTCTGCCTAAACTTACAAATCTCTCGGCCACCGAATCCCCCCTATAAAAAAAAAACAATAAGAAAAAACAACTGCCTCTCCAGTTTCTGTGCGCCCTAGCTCTTTTCTCCCACTTCAAACTTCAAACGAAGGCCGCTATTATGTTAACACGACATGGGCGGGTGGTTGGTGGCTGATAACGCTACTGCTGACTCATACTTCTTTACATTCCTGCTGTTCTTTCGGTCTGTCTATATTACTTTTCCTCAACACTAAATCTAAATGACCAATAGTGCGTGGATGCTTCTCTTTACTCAAACAAACAAAAACAATCAAAGTTTATGCATGGGTATACAATGTAGAGTATTGTCCCCGTCCAGATCCCCCTACATAACGTTGTTTGAAACAAGTTCTGCATGGTCGCTTTCAAGAAAATGAGGTCACCTCCGCAAGAATCCAGGGGGAAGATCTAAACAAAAATCTCTCTCTCTCTCTCTCTCTCTCTCTCTCTCTCTCTCTCTCTCTCTCTCT